CCGGGGAGAGCTGAATGCGAACGGATGGGGGATAAACATCCCCCTCCCCCCGCACCCCCCAATCCCCCAGGTGGCACCCTTTGGTGCTGTGGGGTGAGTGCCGCACGTGCAGTTTGATACAGTTGGTTTAAGCACAAAGGTATTAAAATCAAGTCTGCAGAACTATGAGGAAGTCTGCTTCTAGTCAGTATGTTGAATTTCCAGAGCGTATCCATTGATCTTTCCATTCAAGTAGCAGTTGTGTGGATTTTTATGGCCATATGGAACTAAATTGTTATCTTTGCCAACCACCTAGAGAGAGACAAATCACTAATCTATATCATAAAAAAAAAAAGTTAATAAGGTCCATTATAATAACCACAAGCTGATGACTTGACGCCTTACCCGGATCAAAATCAGCTGAAATATTCATGATTGATCACATCTTTCACCCAGTCCCAGGTACGTCTCTTTTCCTGCCTCTTCAGGCAGGTTAGTGCAGAAGGGGAGTTCATTATATGCAGAACATATAAATGTTATTTATTCCTTAAACTTAACCTTGATTTAACCTAGGTTCTTTTGTTGGAGAAAGGAAGTCAGCAAAGGATATGTTGCAGTCACTGATGAATCTGCGAAAGGAGACTCTTTAGCACCATGTGTGCAGCATTTGTCTTAGGATTGTCATTAATAAAGAGAAGTTAGCTGATGTGTAACTTGTGTGTGCAGTTTGTATGATATTTTTCTCTTTTTTGATTGTACGTGAAGGCTGACTTACATTGCCATTGGCTAAAGGTGTTCCTTTTGCCGTTTCCCAAAATGATTCAGAAGCACTGGTATTCCCGACAGAACGAGGTATTCCCTGCTATTGATCTGTTCTGAGTTCCAGATTTATAACTACCTGGCACAAACGGAGGAGATTGGCCACTAGGATGCGAGAGCCCTGTATCCCCCTGGGATGCAAGAGTTAATCTAAATGAATCCATAATTTGAATGCTACATCAGTTTCCCTTGCTGCAAAACACCAGGAAGGTACTGTAGTGAAATCCTTTGGGAATGTACCAGGTAATAGATCCTAAGGCACTGATGTATACAAATAGAAAGTTCAGTTGATGGCTGAATGTAGGTGTGCAGAGGAGAAGGGAGAGAGATGTTTCAGCAGAGTTACTGCTCGAGATAAAGTGTATTTCCAGTTTACATTGTGCTGAGTTTGGAGAAAGGCAATAAAGCTTTGGTCTTCTGAGAATTCTGCAGTGCAAAACAAACCTATGCTACTGTTGGGATACCAGGAGAAAAGCATATTGTGAATTAATTTTCATTTACATTGTAATACTACTGCTTCAGTGGAAATTAATAGAAATGCAGATTTTTATATTAGTCTGTAAAAGAAAAGAACACCGCATACTGTTCTGAAATTTTGCAGGGATCTCTTTAAATAATATCATAAAGAGAAGACTTAAATCATGTAAGTTCTTTTGGAAAGCATATTTAACACAGTCTTTATAAAATAATGTCTTTATAGGTCATTGTTTATAATGTAGCTGCATCTGAAGAAATATAAAGTGGCTTCGTGTCATGCTGGCTAACAACATAGGGCACCATTTAATGGGATGTCAAGCAATGATTCCAAGAAACCTGAAGCCGTTCCCCTACGTTTGTGGCACCAGAATGTTGTCGGGCTACAAACCTAAAAGCAACGTCAAGGACTCTTACAAGATTCTTGAGCTTGAGGAAGGATGTTCCCTTGACGATATCAGAAACTCGTACCGCAGTCTTGCCAAAAAATACCATCCAGACAGCGGTTCTGCCACAGCTGATTCTGAAGCATTTATGAAAGTAGAAGAAGCGTACAGAGTCGTGCTCAGTGATGCAGCGACCAGAAAGAAGTCGAATGAGAATAATGAAGAGGAGGAAGATCAGTTCAAATCAAATGCCCCACAGCATAGACACTACTTGAGTTTTGAAGGCGTTGGTTTTGGAACACCAAGCCAAAGAGAAAAGCAATACATGCAGTTTCGGGTAGACCGTGCAACTGAACAAGTGTTGGAGTACCGGAAGCAGAGACTTGAAAGCCAGCACGCTGTGACTGACCTAATGAAAGCCAAAGATGTGAGGCAGAGCAAAAAGGTGAAAATAACTCAGGCAGTTGAACGGTTGGTTGAGGACCTCATCCAGGAATCGATGGCGAAAGGAGACTTTGATAACCTCAGCGGCAAAGGAAAACCTCTGCAGAAATTTTCCAACTGTCCACACGTTGACCCAATGACTCACAACTTGAACAGGATACTGATAGACAACGGGTATCAACCAGAGTGGATCCTGATGCAGAAAGAAATACGGGAAACCATCGAGCGGTTAAGGAAGAGTATAGTGGCATCTAGAAGTAAGCTTGGAGGGCCAATGACACCGTACAGGCAAAAGCAGTGGAATCGTATTTGTGAGCAATTTATAGAAGATATCAGGAAATTAAACAAAAGAATTGACAACTTCAATTTAGTTGTTCCTATTCTGAGCAGACAAATGGTGCACTTCAGTGCAGACAAAGAAATTGTTCGAGCACAAAAGACTTACGAAGCTTTGATGGAAAATGGAGAGGCTTCTAATTCAGACACAAAGGAAAATGAAGAGGAAAACGTTAAAAGGTTTGGGTGGAAGTCTTCCCTAGTTAAGTGGTTAAACCTTACATTGAAATAAGATAACACTAATTCATCTGTCTTGTCCAGATTTTGAATGCACTTTATTAATGAAACTTGTACAACTAGACAAATTTCAGGTACGCTGAAAATGTAAAATCCAGCTGTCCACTGTTAACACCAGTTAAAAGGAATTGGGTTGTCTGATGTGCGTTTGCAGGTGTTTAATTGATTTATTTGTGAATATTGTTAAGGAACAAATAAATTCAGTTATCCTCTTGCAGCTCATTTTGCTTCTGCTTAAAATTAACACTTCACTGAAGCATAATCACTTTTACAGTCTCTTATCTCTTCAAAAGGTGAAACTGAGGCATAACAAAAACATGTTAAGGACACAAGTGGAAGTAAAAGTCTTGCTGTGCCCTGTCAGTTCGACCTTTATCCTTTCTTATTTAAATGCTTACAGCTCATAAATTGTTAACAGGTTTCATGCATTTTTTTAAAAGTACCTTCATCCCTTCAAGGCTAAATTAAATGGGAATGAAGGGAAGGTTCTGGATGCCTGGACTTGGACTGTACATTCTGCAGAAGTCCATTTTTGGATCTGGCTTTCAACACAGAAGGTCGTCTCGGGAAGCATCTGAGCAAATAAGGAAGACTGGCCAAAACTGTACCCTAGTCACAGGGCTTTTTGGAGGTGAGAGGAGAAGGGAATATTAATTTTCAAAGGTAATCGCAGCATTTAAATATTTTAGAATATTGGCATGAAAGAACTTACTGTGAAATAGTGCTGTACTATTGATGTTCCTGGGCAGTGGCTTGGAGGGTGGGAAAATCTCCATAATGTCAAAGATTTATTTATCATTAGTAACCTCTCAGGTCCCCACACAATGTGATTTTCCTGGAGGACTTTGCCTTGGAAAAGGCATCACTGGGTATGTCAGTATCTGCGTGGGCCCCCTTCCTCACTGACGCCTCTGTGATTTGGACTGCCCCTGCCTCTACCTGTGCAGGAGTTGTGTGGCGCCCTGCCGGTCTGTAGGGAGGTGTCCCGCAGGCTCTGCTATGCCACGGAGGGGGAATTTCCACTCTCGGAGTTTGGGAAATGAAAGCTAGATGATGATCGACAACCGTCTCTTTGGCAGGTGCCCCAGCACCAGCAGAGTCTGGGTTAATGCATTTGCTTTTAGGCAGGTAATACTGCATGCGCTCCTTTTTGTCTTTGTGCTCATGCTCATCCAGATGAGGTCTTAACACACAAATATATTATTTATATTTGTTGGTGGAATGGATTAATTGAAGTATCGTTTGTCAGAGGGTCTTATATAATCTAGTAATATAACCGAATACAATTTATTTGTTTATTAGGTCTTTCAAGCCTTTGCGTTACAGCGAATAAGTGATAATGACAAGATGTTTGTCATGTTATAGAAAATAGGGCTAATCTCAGCTGCCTTTAACTTATCTTTTTGTAGGAATGAAGGTGGCAAAAGTAAAAAGAACGGCATTACGGGCAGACTGATCTGTTGCCCCTAGGTCATGCCACTGGGATGCTTGCGCCCTGCCATGCCCTGGTGTCAGCTGAAAGGATTAGGTCGTGGCTGTTAGTTCCTTTCTGCTGAGATTCAGTTAGGAGGCAGGGGTACACTAGCGGTGCACGGATCAGTTGGGCCAACCAGTAATTAATGTACTTTTCAGTGGCTCTCCAAGTTTGCAAAGGTGGTAAGAAATAACGGGTGTCTTGCAGATACAGGAGTTAAGTCCTGTATAGCAGTGAAGTGGGAAGAAAATGTGCGTGTGGTCTTGATCTGCCATACAAGTAGCCCCAATCTAAATGCTGAGAAAGAAAAACAGGGTTGCGTGGCAGTCCGCTGTTTCTGGGGACTCAGTAAGAGTTCAGGTTGCTGTCCTTTGTGATATGGGTAAGAGTCACTGAGATTGTGGTGTTAGACCAGGTGACACCAGAAGGCTTTGACCTCGTAAGATCCTCACTCAGTTTAGCAACTGTGTGTATGAATGTCTGTTTATTTCAATAACTTACCTATGCCTTCTTGCTTTTAATGCAAACTGCAAATTAAACATACTTTTATGGAAGTCCTTTGACATAGTACTCTCAGAAAGATCAGATTTTGATTCTCGTTATGATCTACAGGAGTTGGATCTGAATTGCTGTTTGAACTAATCCAGTGGCAGATTTGAAAAGAGCTAATTGCAAATTGAATGCATTGCACGAGGGTAAATAGAAACCAGATTGCAATAAATCCAGCTTTGATGGAATCCGCTTTAGCTCACAATGAAGATAAGTATCAGCAGTTTAAATATTTAAGTTGCCATAATGGATGAGTTGGCATACCGAGGGGTTTTTATGTTCCTTTTGAAACTACTTGGTTTTAAATGGAGTAGATGTGACCTGGCTCTCAGCACTTTAAATCAGCCTTACATTGTTGTCGTGAAAAATTGCCAGGCACAAAAATCCACTTCTTCAACATTTACAGCAATGATGATGAAAAAAATAATTTAAATTTTTATTTTCCCCAGGTGTGTGGAGGAGTATATTTTTGTAGGGCTGGTCTATTTTTTTGTTGCTCTGAGCTCACAAAATCTTAAAAGCAGTATTTAGTCAGTACTTCTAGAACAACTAGTACCAGATACTGCATACAAATTAGAAAAACCCAGGAGAGAATTACCTCAGAAGCAACTTTTCTATCTGACACTAGACTGTTAATTTGAATTTGATAACTTATTACTGACCTCAAAAGGATGAAATCATTGCTGATTCCAGGTACAAAAACGTCTTGCTTATTCCCAGAACTCCCTGTGTATTAGTTTAATTACCATATGGCTTGTGGCTTTAATGGCTTTTCTGGATGGCCTCTTAATACAAAGACAAAATTTTATTTATGTTTATTATCAAGATGTATTAATTGAGGTATTGGTTTTTCTCAGGGTGAGGAATCTGTTTCTCGCCCAACAGTCTGATGGCTTTTTCAAGCACGATGAGCAAGCTATACAATTATACGTGTTAGTGCTTTCCAATAAAAGGAGGAGACGTACAGCTGTAGGTTATCTGAAATAATGTCTCAGACTGTCCTGTAGAGTTTCTACAGACGCTGTAAATGTTGAGGCCTGCTGAATATCTTTCTGTTTCAGAGTAATAGCGGCTCTCGGGACACACGTGGAGTTGCAGAGAAGGCTCTGAGGAGAAGGAGTAAAAGTCACGAGCAGCAAGAGCAGGGCATGCTGCAAGAGGCAAAGACAAGTGGTAAATCTTCATCTGTAGAGGAAGAAGCTGTCGCTGTGAGGCAGAAGGGGATGTCTAGTGTCTCCCTTGAAGTTATTTCCCTACCAGTTGTGTTTCCCTGGGTGCGGCAACCACATGGGTCACCTTCCCACAGCTGCGATCGGATGTTGAGAAAACCGAAACGTGTGTGCGTGGGGGAGGAGGGGGGTGATGGCAGCGTGGGAGGTGTGATAGGAAGGGCCTGGGAAGGAGAGAGGATTAGGGGGAAAGCAAACAGCGTGTAGTGCTTCCAGATGAGGCTGAGAAGGTGGTGGCACGTGTGTTAACAGGGAGAGAGGTTGGAGAGTAGGCACATGTGAATAAAAAATAAAAGAAATTGGCTGTGATCCTTTTCAGTGAACAGCAGGGCAAGAGTTTTGTTACAAACTTTTTCTTCACGGTATGGTTCTGAGCGTCATCAGTAAAAAAAAAAAGTGTTGTTATTTTTCCCCTCTGCAGCCGGTAGCCTCTTCTCCGGGCCCGATAAAGTGAGGAAGGAGGAGCTGCTTCAAAAGAAGGCTCTGGCTTAGCTCCAGGCTGGGTGGAACACCATGAGTGCATATACCTGAAGGGAAGAAGGAGGGGAGCTGGGAGTAGAGGGCTTTGATTACAACTTTTGCACGGGATTTCATGGGACCACAGCTTGACTGCCTTTTAATGAGGAACTGAATACGCTGTTGCCCTTCCGTCACGTCTTTATAGGCCTTTCTCACAGCCTCCCTTGTCTTACTTAGGGCCCCATATTGCTCTTTGTTGTTCTTGAGCAATAGCTTTGGAGCACCTTCCTCTTTTTTATGTTTATCCTGTTCCACTCTCAAATTTCCGCTTCCCACTTTTCAGATTGATTCTCTATCTTACCAGAGCGTGAATTTTCAAGACTATAACCGTTTCCCTAACTTCAACACATAATTCAATTGCAGCCTTTTCCCTTAGCGCCTACAAAATCTTGACATTGGATCTTACTATAATAGGCGGCAGTCCATGTTTTATGAGAAGATGGCTCGCTCTTAAGGTGCCTCTGGCGCTGGTGGGGCGCTCTTTCCAACGCTTTGGCAGGAAACGGGCCAGAAAGCTGGAAAAAGAGAACTGCATCCCGCGCGTGGGAAGTAGGAAGGCAATTCACTGACGAGTGAGAAATTTGGGGCCAGTTGGTACCTTTCGGGCACTTTCAAAGCCACTTTGCAAGCAGACATCTACCCACCTCCATTGGGCAACCGAAATGTGCGGAAACACCCAGGCCCGCGGGCTGGGCTTTGGGGAGGGCGGGGGGCGGCCCTCGCCCCGCC